CTCTACACCATTAATTCGCTAGAGTGCAAGATTTGTTGCAGACGTCTTAGGGTGGAGGGGCCCGAATTGCACCAGCTTAGACCAATGGATTGGGAGCGTTCCCCGAATCGCGAACGAAAAGCTTGTTCAAGCCACGATCTAAGGACTGGGTGCCCATTCAGAGCAGCTACCTCTCTCTGTAGTTCCTGCACTGTAGCAGGGTGGTGCCCTACAACTAGCCAGGAATAAAACTCTCTCTTGGGTTCCACTCGGCGTCGAGGGGGCTCGGCGCCTGTGGAAGAAAAGCGTGCCTCAGCTACGAGGGCAGATTGCCGGAACATGCTGAGCGTGTATTCGTCTGCAAAACTCTCGCGAAGCCTACTCTCTATGGTGGCTATAGACTGTTGGTATAGGCCTCGAGTGCTACACAATCGACTTACTCTCTGTGCAAAGGCTTTTGGCCACGAGCTGTGCACGTGGCGCGGTTGAGCACTGGAGGGAGATAGAGGAGGGGCGAGAGAGGACGGTTTCAGAAAGTGTGAGACTGAAAAATGATCCCGTTCCTTCCTCACCAGCAGATCCAGGAACTGCACCTCGCGCCATGCCCATGTTATCTTCATCGGGTAGATGTGAGCGAGCGCCTGCATCTCCCTGAAGAGCGACATGGTGCTTGAGGCGAGCCACCCACTCAGGAGCAGTATGTCATCTCTGAACCTCCAGTATGCTCTGACACCATGGTGGGCAAGCTTCTCGCCCGCCCCTGCCGTTACGACGCGCCTCTCCATGAGCGCCACGAGCGTACAGTCAGCGACCTCGCCGGAATGTTCCAGGCCCATACCTGATCCTTCCAGCACTTGGTACGTCAGGTTGTCGGACCCTTCCCATGGGTCATCCACATATTGATTATGCAAAACGAAATCGAGAACTCGATGTAAGACTTCCTTCATAGGGTCGTCAGCCGCCCATAATGTCAGGATTGCCTCTATGGTCTGATCAGGTGTGCCGTTCAAGTAAAAGTCCTTAACATCGATTGTGGCCATGTGCCATTTCTCAACACTCGTATGCCGGATGTGCCTGATTCTGGACACAAGGTCTTGTGAATCCTTCAGAAGATAGGGTGCGACGTCGCCGAGCTTGCGCCGAAGTTCCTGAGCCAGCCAGTGACTGAGCCCAGCAAACATGTACCTCGACGAAGCATGGACAGCTCGCACAACCACTTCTCCCTGAGGCTTCTGTCCCCCACACAGGGGAATTTTCCTCAAAAAAAAATCCCCAAAGATACCCCAAAAAGGTAAAAAATACTCAAAAAGTAGTCCCCAGACCATTTTTGGATTTGGATTATTTTTGGATTATTTTGGAGGTATTTTTTTATTTTTCGTCGAAAATCCCCCTGGAGGGGGACAGGCCCGACTTGAGAGCAGTCACTTTGCGAGCAGTGCAGCGCGCTCGTCTATTTTGAAGCGCGTGCTCACCTCTCCGACGGGCGCGGCGTCGTGAGAATCGCTGGGCGGCCCGCCGTCCCAGTCCTGCGGGGAGCGGTCCCGGGTAGCCTTAAGTCGGGCCTGTCCCTCTACAGGAGGAATATTCAAAAATAGAAAAAGAATAGTCAGGGGACTATTTTTTGAGTATTTTTTGAATATTTTGGGGTATTTTTTTGACTATTTCTGGTTTTTCGCCCAAAATCCCCCTGTAGGGGGACAGGCCCGACTTAAGGGGAGCTTACACGTTCCTCTCCCCACCTCTGAGGCCGGCACGTCGTAGGAGATCAGCTGCGAGCTCTCGAAAGGATGAATTCTGGAACTCTGCAAACATCACCACCCACCAAACCACCCCAACCCAACCCGAAGGCCTCAATTTGCCCTCCATTTCCAGCGGGGGGGGGGGGTCGGGGAACACTGAGAAAACACGTATGGAATCCGTACCCCCCCCCAACCCGAAAGTCGGGTCTGGTGGCCTGGTAGGTAGTCAGTAGTAGCCCACACGTTCTTCTCCCCGCTTCTGAGGTCGGCACGTCGCAGGAGAGCAGCTGCGAGCTCTCGAGAGGATGAATTCTGGAACTCTGCGAACAGGATCCCCCCGAAGTTCTCCTCGGCGTAGACTTTCTCTGGCATGGGCCCTGGCATATCGGCAAGCTTCTCCTTCAGCTGTGCGGCGGCTTTCCCGAGGTTGCCCAGCGCCTCCAAAATCCCAATCACCATGCGCAAGGCACGCTTGTCCACGACCTCGGGAGAGGCGTGCACCTTGTCGCCAGCCTTCTTCCCCTCCTCCTTCACCATGAAGTCTCGGATGTGCGAGGGCGAGAAGCAAGGTGAACCCAAGATGCATCCAAGATGCTGCATCAAAGATGCTGCATCAAAGATGCTGCATCAAAGATGCTGCATCAAAGATGCTGCATCTGCCCCTCCCCATAAGTTCATGCGGTGTTCCCACCCACAACAGGAAAGTGCCCCCTCGAGCGACGAGCACCTCTTGGGCTCTCACCACGTGCGGGCGAGGGCGCGGTCTTGCAGAGGCGCCGTCCCCCCCCCGACCCGTGTAGCTGTTGCACGAGCTACACCCCTGGTCAGCACGCCAGAGGACGCCTCAAACGAGAGCCCCGTTCTGCAGTGAGCCGCCCTCCATCCGCACAGCCGCTGCGTGTACGTTTGACGAGGTCTCAAGCGGGAGCCGCGTGCTGAAGGGAGCCGGTTTCAACCCTTGTCGTCTGTCACAAGCTTCTGAGACGAATGTGCGTCGCTGGGGCGAGATCCCCATTCTGAGAGCCGACCGGCCTCCATCCTTGCAAACGTGGCAAGCTTTTAGGACGATTGCGAGGCGCCAGTGCGTGAACCCTATTTTTAAACTGTGCCGCCCTCTATCTTCGGAGCTGGTGCAAGATTTTGAGACGAATGTGCGCAGCGCTGAGACGAGATCACCATGTGGAACATCTACCGCCCTCTATCCTTGCAGCTGTTAGAAGTTCCAACGTTCAGCGTCACATGTGGTGGGGATATCCCAGGCGACCCCGCAAGCCCTACAGACACGTCTTGTGGTGCGACAGGGAGGACTTATGTACAAGGAAAGCGGAAAGGAGAAGGAGGAGGAGGAGGAGGAAGAAGAGGAGGAGCAGTCAGCCGACAGGGTGCATTCAAGCCACTGCGCGCCAACATCTGCAGAGTCGTTGTCCTGATCAATTGAATTTGGTGTGAGGCACCTTTACCGATCCATGCATATACACTTCTGGAGCCCTTGCGTGCAATAGGGGGCCACATGCGAACCCTACCCCTAATCCCCACGATTTCTGAGAGGGAGGGTGGGGTTCACTTCGCTTGGGAGCTCCCGAACGAAGTGAACCCCACCCTCCCCCTCAGACATCGTGTGGGGTAGGGGTAGGGTTCGCATGTGGCCCCCTATGCAAGAACAAGTCCTTGCATCAACGTGTTCTGGGCCCCCTCTCCCTGGAGTTCCACGGGGCCCTCCGGAGACGCTCCCACAGGGTCTCACCTGCTTGCGGAGACGGCCCAAGCCAGGAGGGAAAGAAACACACAGACACAATTACTCGTCGACCCCCCAGAAAATATTGGAAAATGTGGGAAGTGGTGGGGAAGACAAAAACCATGAAGATATGGGAAACTATGGGGATTTTTTTTAATTTGTGTGTATTTACTTGTGTGTCCCTGGGCCCCATCCACACGAGGCTTCCACGACGCCCCACGGGACCCCGCGACGCTCCTCGGGGGCGGGGGCCTCTGGGAGCTCCGGAGAAGAGACCCGAGGGGGGGGGGGGGGCCGCGCGAGGTCCAAGACAGCACATACACACATTGTTTTCCCTTGTTGTCGTTCCTCTCCGGCCTTTTCGGCCACGATGGTTCCAGGAAGGCCTCCGCGTCCTCGACGAAGCGCCTAAGCGGCCCAATGTGGCCCCGAGTCGGCCCAGGCACGCCCAAGGCGGCCCAAGACGGATCCCAGAGGTTGCCAAGACGGCCCAGGCCGTCCCCCCCCCCCTCCAGGCATTTAACGAAGGCCCCAATATGGCCCCGAGATGCCTTAAGGATGCGGCTCCAGAAATTCACAGACCGCCTCTCGACAGCCTCAGAGGGTTTCCCAGGGACGCCCAATTGGCCGAACACGCCCCGACCGGAGGGGTCCCCGAGGCGCCCCAACATGGCCCAGGAGTCCCCATGAGGCTCCAAAGGTGTTCCGAGACCCGTCTGGAGCCGTAACAGCAGCAGTAGGGACAGCATCAGCATAGCTTGCAGCAGCAGAGCCAGCAACAAGCAGCAGCAGTAGCAGCAGTTCCGAGCAGGCAGCAGCATCACGCATAACCAGCACACAACATGGGCATGTAGCTTCAGCTAGCGGAAGTAACATGCGCAAGCAAATATATGCAGCAGCACGCAGCGACGAGCAGCAGCAACGCCACGCAGCACCGGGAAGCTGCAGCAGTACGCAGCATCAAGCAGCAGCAATTTTTCAGCAGCAGGTAAGATGCACGCACAGACGACAGGTAGCAGCATGTAGGGGAACATCGGCAGCAGGCAGCAGCGAGTGGCAGCAGGCGGCAGCAGGCCGCAGCGAGTCGCAGTGAGCGGCTTCCCAGCGGCAGAGCAAGGCAGCAAACGGCAGCAAGAGGCAGCATGTTACGGGGCCGAGCAGACGCTATGGTGATCAGAGCGCGTCTGTCCCTCTCACATGGTCAGCATCGCCGTGCCAGGACCACACATGCGTTCCTGTGCGCTGCTAATTCGGTGCCGTACTATGACGTGCTGTGTTGCGATGTGCTGCGTTGTGTCCTGCGTGCCTTGTCGCAAGCACGCCGCTCCTATCCTGATTCATGGTTGGTTGTGGCATGCTGTGCTGCTTCTACGTGCGGTATCGCGCAGACGCCGAGCATCTCGGATGTATCGTTGCGCCGTGCTGCGCTGTACTCGCCATGCCCACTCATCGCCCTTGTAAGCGAGTAAGTTTGCGATGGCGATGGCCTACGGGCCAGCCATAGTCAGCTACAGCGCTGGGGTCAGCGCGTGCGGAAAAAGCGATCGATGGCAGCGGGCTCTCTCGTTATTCAACGAGATGCAGCAGGCGAAGTTGGAGCCCAACGACATATCTACTACAATTCTGGACGCTTCGCCTAACCCCGTCAGCCCATCCAGACACGATGTCCAGACGAGTTGCCCTGATCAGGGATATGGAGGAGCATGCATTGGAACAAGGGCTGGGTAAGACGTCATACCCCAAGAGTGGGAGGATGGGGGCAGAATCGGAGGAGCAGGAGGAGGAGGAGGAGGAGGAGGAGGAGGGAGAGGGGGATGGGGGACAAGCTAGGTACGCTCGCGCCCCATCTGACATCCTATACCTCCCTCCCATCCCTGACCATGGCGCTGATTATCCTCTATCCGCGGACGCGTGTCATAGCCGATCTGCGACTCACACAGAAGGACCACTTCATTTTATGCGCAGTCGGAGAAGGGGAGCTGCGTGCACAGGAGGAGGATGCTACGGGTGAGCATTTCGATGAGCGGGAGGACAAGGATGAGGACGAACAGCAGCAGCAGCAGCAGCAGCAGCAGCAGCAGCAGCAGGAACTACAGTGGAATGATCGGGAGGGACAGGAGGACCAGGGGAAGGCGGAAGAGGGGAAATGAGAAGGGCGACAACGATGAATAAAGACTTGGATTCAGAAAAGTGGCCCGCGCTGGGGCGGGACGAGCAGCAGCAGCAGGAACTGGAATGGCAGGAGCGGGAGGAACAGGAGGACTAGGGGAAGGCGGAGGAGAGGAAATGATGGGGGGGAACACTATGATGCAAGGCTCGGATCCAGAAAAGTGGCCCGCGCTGGGGCGAGAGCCCCAGTCTGAACGACGGGAGCAACGCGCCGATCCGAAAATGAGGCCCACACTGCAGCGGGAACACCATTATGGAACACAACACCGAAAACAGTTGACTTGTAAACAGCCATAAGATACATACATGTTTTAGACCCTGTGTGTTAACAAACCACGCGGAGGGGGCGGGAGATCTTCCGGACAATTTCAGGGGGAGGAGGGAGAGTCGTATTCGTATTGTTCAATGGTGGACGGAGGAGGAAGGAAGAAGAATATGCGGATGATGATGATGATGATGATGATGATGATGATGATGATGCTGATGATGCTGATGATGATGACTATTATGCTGATGAGGTGATAAGAATGATGCTGATAATGATGAAGATGATGATGCTGATGCTGATGATGCTGATGTTGATGCTGCTGTTGATGACCATGATGCTGATGCTGATGCTGATGCTGTTGATGATGATGATGATGATGATGATGATGAGGATGAGGATGAAGATGAGGATGAGGATGATGATGATGATGATGATGATGATGATGATGATGATGATGATGATGATGATGGTGATGATGATGATGATGATGCTGATGATGATGATGAATCGGATGAAGAACAATTTTCAGAGGAGGAGGAGGAGGGGGAAGAGGATGAGGAGGGCGAGCAGGCAGGCCAGAAGCTTCTTGGATGCTTCTCGGAGTCTCTTCGGATTTCTTCCCAGAGCTTGTCGGAGTTCTCTTGGCGTGTCTTGGGCGTCTCTTGGCAGTCCCCGGGGGCAACTTGGGGCGTCTTGGGTGCCTCTGCGGAGCCTCTTGGGGCGACTTGGGGGTCTCTTGGGGGCCTCTTGGGGGCATCTTGGGGGCCTCTTGCTTGGGCTCTCCTAGGCATCTCTCGGGGCAGTCTTGGGGCTCCCTTGGGAGTCATCTTGGGGCAATCCTGGAGGAGATCGATCAAATCAGGGGCCGTAGTACATCAGTCCCCCCCCCAGGAGGCCAACATCAGGCCAAAACCTTAGTAAAACAAGTGACTTTGGTCTTCTCGCCAAGGCCTCTTGGGGCGTCTTCGGTGCCTCTGGGGGGCCGCTTGGCGTGTCTTGGTGGTCTCTTGGGAGTCTCTGGGGGGCATCTGGGGGCCTCTTGGGGGCCTCTTGGGGCCTCCTGAGCACCCCTTGAGGTAGTCTTGGGGCGGGCACCCATGGGAGCCTCGGGGGCCATCTCGGGGCCATCTTGGAGGAGATCGATCGTAGGAGGGGGGCTCCTTAATTTGGCTCCTCCCCCAGGAGTCAAACATGTGGCCAAAACCTTTGTAAGCTAAGTGACTTTGGTCTTCTCGCCGAGGCCTCTTTGGGGCGTCTTGGGTGCCCCTGGGGGGCCTCATGGCGTGTCTTGGTCTCTTGGGAGCCTATGGGTGGCATCTCGAGGACCTCTTGGTGGCCGCTTGGGGCCTTCTGGGCACCGCTTGGGGGCATCTTGGGGCACCCTTGGGAGCCTCGGGGGCCATTTTGGGGCCATCTTGGAGGAGATCGATCACAGGAGGGGGGCTCCTTAACTAAGGTCTCCGCAGGAGGCCAACATTTGGCCACAACCTTTGTACCATCATTGATTTGGTCTTCTCGCCGAGGCCTCTTTGGGGCGTCTTGGGTGCATCTGGGGGGCCTCTTGGCGCGTCTTGGGTGTCTCTTGGGAGCCTCTTCGGGGCATCTTAGGGGCCTCTCGGTGGCTTCTTGGGCCTCCTGGGCACCGCTTGGGGGCATCTTGGGGCACCCTTGGGAGCCTCGGGGGCCATCTTGGTGTCGTCTTGGAGGAGATCGATCAAAGGAGGGACCGTGGTACATTAGGTTCTTCCCCAGGAGGCCAAAATATGGCCAAAGCCTAGGTCAAATCACTGGTTCTGGCTTTTTTCGCCGAGGCCACCTTGGACGCTCTGACGACCCGCGGCCTGGCCAGTCCAGGTCCAAGGGGAGGGGGTAGGGGGAGGGTTCAAGCTGCCCTCAGGGGTGGCACACCGTCTAGCTCACTCCCGCTCTCCCTCCCAACACACAAGTAACATCCAAGTGTCAGCAGATCGCCCAGGAACGCCACACATGCCATGCGCACCACGGGTTCCAGGTGCACCAGGCCTGGAGGCCCAAGTATGCCAGGTGCGGCACACGCTCCACGTGCGCCAACTGTGCCACGTGCTCCAGCCGCGCCAGGTGCGCCAGCTGGCTCTGAACCCCCCTGAAGCGAAGTGCCGAGCATTCTGTGAGAAGGGCGGCTCCTCCAGGGAGCGCAAAGCAGCGGCACCGATGGACAAATCATGACATCTGAGAGGCGCCGTGAAACACATATGAGCTCAGAGTAAAGAGGGCCCTGTGCATGCTCCAGATTTGGAGCCAAAGTGTGTTTTGTATTTTTTCTTGTGAGGGATGTTTGGCCTGCGCGCAGCAAGCAATATGCGGCACCCCCGCCGTCCATGTCTAAAAATCAAAGCAAAGTGCGGGCGGGCGCCCGTGCATGCTCCAGCTTTGGAGGCAAAGTGTATTTTGCATTATTCAAAAGAGGATGGTTGGGGTGTTCGCATTGTTCTAGGTTGGCTGCCGGTCGCCTGGGGGAGGGGGTGTTTACTAGTAGGGATCAGTGATGAACTGTTCCCCGAAGGGGAAGACAGGGGTTGGAAGGGGAAACGCTCCAAACCACCCATGTCCTCAAGGGCTGGTGGGATTCACGGTCGTGGGAGGAGGGGAGGAGGGCTAGTTGCGGCTTTTTTTTGTTTTAATTCTTCAAAGATTGAACAGACGAGGGAAAAGACACCGACACAATCAATCGTCGACTCCCAGGAAAATATAGAAAATGCGGGAAGTGGGGGGGAAGGCGAACACCCAGAACATACCGGAAAATACAGGCATTCCTGGGATCTGTGTCTGTTCATTTGTGTGCCCTTGGGCCCCTTTCTTTCTGTTGCCCGAACAGAAGCCCCGCCCCCCGCCCCAAAACTGCGGCCCCCAGGGCACTGGGACGGCCCCGGGGGCCCCTCCGACGGTCCCTCGGTCCACCCAGACGGGCCCGAGGTCCGGACGGAGCTCCAAGAGGCCCCCCCCCCCTCCGCCTCCCGAGGGGCTCCGACGAGAGACGCCCACGAGGCCGCGAGGACCCCTCGCCCCGCGAAGAATCAGCCACGCGCAGAGGGGGGTGGGGGGAGGGGGGAGGGCTTCTTAGAAGCACCCCTGCTTCTTAGAAGCCCTCCCTCCCTCCCTCCACCCCCTTGTGCGCGCCGCCCAAAAAAATGGTCTGCCGGTTTTGAATGCCTGTCTCCCTCCTCCTCGAAAGCTTCGGGCGCCCGACGGGCCCATGGAGGCGGGCCCACGGCGCCGCGCGCCCCCGGGAGGGGGGGGGCTTTTCCAGCGCCAGTCCAAGAGATCTGCGCGGATCTCGAGGCTGTATGTTGTATGCCCCGTTGCTTGTCCCTCTGTATCGCCTAATTGCCTCCTCCTCCCCCCGCTCGGCCGCCCTCTTCTCCCTCTCGTTTTCTTGCACGCTGGACAATTCGCCTATCGGTGCCCCCGATTCGCCCGACGCTGGTGCGGGTCTCCCCCACCTCGCCGCCGACGAAAAAAGCTCCTCTGCATCAGCGATCCTGTGACGTGGGACTATCTCGCAGTTATCATGAAGGCATTGGCCCAAGCTGGTTGCAAGATGCCTCCAATGCCGCCCCAGCGGCGGCCAGGACGGCCCGAAGGCCCAAACCAAGCCCAGGGCGGCCCGAGGAGGGCCACCAGAGTCTTCCAGGACGCCCCCAGAGTGGCCCAGACAGGTCAGATAGGCTCAGGAGTGTCCCATCTCGCCAAGGTGAGAATAAGGAAGAGGAGACGATGATGACGATGATGACGATGATGTCGATGATGACGATGACGGCGATGATGACGATGATGACGATGATGACGATGATGACGGTAATGATGGTGATAACGGTGATGACGGTGATGGTGATGGTGATCGTGAAAGTGATGGTGATGATGATGGTGTGATGCTGCTGCTGCTGATGATGATGCTGTTGATGACCATGCTGGTGACCATGACGATGACGATGACGACGAGGATGAGGATGATGATGAGGATGATGATGATGCTGATGCTGATGACTATGATGATAATGATGATGCTGATGGTGATGCTGATGCTGCTGATGCTGACGATGACGATGATGACGTATGGCGATGATTATGCTGATGCTGATGATGCTGATGATGATGATGCTGATGCTGTTGATGAGATGATATGATATGACATGATATGATATGAAATGATATGATATGACATGCTATGAAATGATCTGATCTGGTCTGATCTGATGATGATGGTGATGATGATGATGATGATGATGACGATGACGATGACGATGACGATGACGATGATGGTGGTGGTGGTGCTGCTGATGATGGTGGTGGTGGTGCTGCTGATGACGGTGGTGTGCATGGATAATGATGTTAGGGATGAGGTGAATGAACATGTGAATGAGGATGGTGACGATGCTGACGATTCTGCTGCTGCTGCTGATGTTGCTGATGATGGTGGTGGCGATGATGATGATGATGATGATGATGATGATGATGATGATGATGATGATGATGATGATGATGATGAGGAGGAGGAGGAGGAGGAGGAGGAGGAGGAGGCGTATGAGGAGAGGGAGCAGCTAGACCACGAGTACAGGAAGAAAGAAGAGAGAGCGAGAGAGAGAGAGAGAGAGAGTCGAAACGTGCCAGCTGGTAGTATCAATACGTCAGATAGTCGAGACGCTCTTTTCACGCGCCTGCGAACTTTTGCGTCCCAAGTGTAGCCCCCTCCCCTGTCAACTTGACGCCAGCTCAAGGTGCCAGCCGTTGGTCTGGTCCATCGGCCCACCTAAGTCAGCTACAACTCTGGAATCGACGCGTGCGAGAAAGGCGGTCAGTGGCAGCAGGCCTTGGCGCTGCTGAGCGGAATGCAGGATGCAAAGCTAGAACCTACCGTGACTAGCTACAGCGTTGGAGTCAGGGCGTGCGACAAATCCAAGCAGTGGCAGCAGATTCTGTCGCTGCTCCGAGACATGTGTGAGGTGAAATTGGAGCCCGACGCTGTCTGCTACAGCGCTGGGATCAGCGCATGCGAGACAGGCGAGCAGTGGCATCAGGCAGTGTCACTAGTCAGCGAGATGTGGGGTGCCACTTTTTAGATCCCGCTATCAGCAGCTGCATTGCCGAATGCAGTGCGTGCAGGGAAACCATTTCGGGGCAGCGGGGCCTGCCGCTGCCGAGCGTCGCCAGCTGCAGTGCTGTGGGATCAGCGTGTGAGTGGAAGAAGGCAAGCCCCAGCAGCAGGGCCAGTCGCCGTCCAGGGAAGTCTGGGCCGCGAAGATGGCCCCACCGCCACGACGCCACGCGGGGGCCCGCGCGTGGCAGCACGGCGAGCACTGGCGGTGTGTCCGGCCGCTGCTCCGGCAGCATGCGGCACGGGCGCGGGCGAGAGAGGCGACCAGCGGCAGCCTGCCCCCGCCTCTGTCCAGCGAGGCTCTGGATCCCAGCTGGGGGAACAAAAAGTGACATAAACATAAAAACTCGGAGGTCCGCGCGGATTTCTCGGATCGGCGCTGGGGCCCCCCGGCGGCGCCTCCGGCGCCGCCCCTGGCGCGCTCCGCGCGCCAGGGAGGGGGGTCCAGCGCCGATCCGAGAAATCAGCGCGGACCTCCGAGTTTTTATGTTTATGTCACTTTTTCTTCCCCTACCAGCGCCACCGGTACTGCACCGCCAGGGTCGGTGCATTCGGAGGAGGCCGTCGAGAAGCGCGAGCCGCGTGCCTCCACACAGCGGAAGACCAGCCCAATGCTAGCCCAGGCATGGCTTGTCGAGGCCTCGGGGGGAAGATGTTGGGACGGGGCGCGCGGCGACGGGAACCGACCAGACAGTACACGGACGCTTTAATACACCGCAAGGTGCCGCTGGGCGCGGTTGCGGTTCCCTCCAGCCCACGACTCAGGCTTGGAAATGGCTCATTGCTGCGATGGCGCACATCTACGCGTGGTCGTGGAGGCCGCACGACAATCCAACAGCCAAGAAGCGAGTCATTTACGACCACTCTGGCAGTAGACGGGGGATCCTCTGATGGTCCGCCTCGACTTCGGGCGGCCTGGACGTCTTTACTGCACATGTCTTTTAGTGTGCAATAGTCGTGTGTGTATATAAATATTTACATTTAAGTATCCGCAGGGGCTTTGCCCACTGCCATCGGCCCCCTCTATCATAACGGGGGATACAGGAGTTACTTTTGGATGCTTGGGCGCCGTCGTGAAGCAATATCGAAATCTCATTCGAGAGCGATGTGTAAGTTCTCAAGACAAATTGAGAACCAGATGATATTGTGGAGCTTCGTTTTTTTCTGTTATTTCTCCTCACGCTGTATATTGGAGACCCTCTTGGAACGACTGGGGGCTGCTTGATTGTGCGTTGGGTAAAATCGTGCGGCTTGGGTTTTTTTTTGGGTTCTTCGGAGTATTTTACCAGGGACAGAGGCTTTGAGGACGCCAATATTGGGTAACTTACTAGGGATCGTGGCCTCGAGGGCGCGAGCAGAGTGTAATTCATCAGAGATCGTGGCGTCGACGTGAGCATTGCGTAATTTACGCGGGGCCTCGGAGACGCGAGTATTGTTGTGATTTACTACGGATCGTGGCCTCGGGGACGCTAACATGGATACTTTACAAAGGATCGTTGCCTCGGTGATGCGATTCTTGCATCATGTATGCAACATCGTGGCATCGGGGAAGCGAATATTGATTCATGCGCGATGGATCGTGGCCTCGGGGACGCGAATATGGCGTGATGTACAATGGATCGTGGCCTCGGGGACGGCCAAATCGAGTGATTTGCAGAAAGGATCGTGGCCTCGGAGACGTGAACATCATGTAATTTACTAGCAATTGTAGCCTCGTGGATGCGATTATTGGACAACTTATGAGGGGTCGTGATCTCGGAGACGCGAACATCGCGTCATTTGCTAGGAATCGTATCCTCGGGTAAGCGAGCACTGCGTAATTCAGAAGGGATCGTCGCCTCGGGGACGCGAGCATGGCGCGCTTTACTCAGGATCGTGGCCTCGGATCGCGAGTACGGTGTGATTTCAATAGGATCGTGATTTCGGGGACGCGAATACTATGCAACTTACGCAAGATCGTGGCCTTCGGGACTCGAGTATCGTATGTTTCAAGAGGGAATGTGGCTTCGGGATCGCGAAGCGAATGTATTTCCCCAAACAGCTTGCTGAACGGGGTGCTGTTGTGATAGAAGCTAACTCCGGCCGAGGGAATTCAAAGCAGAGACGTCCTCAAAAAAATTTGGTGGCCCAGGCCGTTTCGCCTGAGACATCTTCGCAACTCTCGTTTCTGAGTTGTCCGGGATTGGGCGTTTCGCGTGAGACATCCTCGAAACTCTGAGTTCCCAGATGCCGCGCAAGAGGTGGTCCGGCCCGTTTCGCCTGAGACATCTTCGAAACTCTGAGCCCCCAGATGCCGCGCGAGAGGTGGTCCGGCCCGTTTCGTCTGAGACATCCTCGAAGCTCTGAGCTCCCAGATGCCGCGCGAAAGACGGTCCAGCCCGTATCGCCTGAGACATCCTCCAAGTTCTGAGCTCTGAGATGCCACGCGCGAGGTGGTCCGGCGCGTTTCGCCTGAGATATCCTCACAACTCTGAGTTCTGAGATGTCGCGCAAGAGGTGGTCCAGCCCATTTCGCCTGAGACATCCTCGAAACTCTGGGCTCCGAGATGCCGCGCAAGAGGTGATCCAGCCCGTTTAGCTTGAGACATCCTCCAAACTCTGAGCCCTGATATGCCGTGCGCGTGGTCCGGCGCGTTTCGCCTGAGACATCCTCACAACTCTGAGTTCTGAGATGTCGCGCAAGAGGTGGTCCAGCCCATTTCGCCTGAGACATCCTCGAAACTCTGGGCTCCGAGATGCCGCGCAAGAGGTGATCCAGCCCGTTTAGCTTGAGACATCCTCCAAACTCTGAGCCCTGATATGCCGTGCGCGTGGTCCGGCGCGTTTCGCCTGAGACATCCTCACAACTCTGAGTTCTGAGATGTCGCGCAAGAGGTGGTCCAGCCCATTTCGCCTGAGACATCCTCGAAACTCTGGGCTCCGAGATGCCGCGCAAGAGGTGATCCAGCCCGTTCAGCTTGAGACATCCTCCAAACTCTGAGCCCTGATATGCCGTGCGCGAGGTGGTCTGGCCCGTTTTGCCTGAGACATCCTCGAAACTCTCCGCTCTCTGATGCCGCGCAAGAGGTGGTCCGGCCCGTTTCGTCTGAGACATCCTCCAAACTCTGAGCCCCGAGATGCCGCCCAAGAGGTGGTCCGGCCCGTATCACTTGAGACATTCTTGCACTTTTGCATTCCGAGATTCCGCGCGAGAGGTGGTCCGGCCCGTTTCGTCTGAGACGTCCTCGAAACTCTGAGCTCTGAGATGCCGCGCGCGAGGTGGTGGCCCGTTTCGCATGAGACATCCTCGCAACTCTGAGCTCTGAGATGCCCTGCTCGAGGTGGTCCGGCCCGTCTCGCCTGAGACATCCTTGCAACTCTGAGCTCTGATATGCCGTGCGCGAGGTGGTCCGGCCCGTTTTGCCTGAGACATCCTCGCAACTCTGAGCTCCCAGATGCCGCGCAAGAGGTGGTCCAGCCTGGGGGCCCAGAAGACCACATGTTATATGTCCCCCCTGGGACCCTGGGAGCCCCAGGAGGCCCCAGAGAGCTTCAGGAGGCCGCAGGACGCCTAGGACAGGCCCCAGGGGTTCCCAGGAGATTCCCAGGAGGCTCCCAGGAGGCCCCAGGAGGCCCCCTATCAGAACGTGTCAAGTTAATACACATCCAGTGCCAATTCGTTGATTTTTCCTGCTCTTGTGGCCCCCAGTTTGGGGGGCCCAGACGGCCACATATTAGATATCTCCCCCTGGGGGCCCCAAGAGGCTTCAGGAAGCCCCAGGTGGGGTCCAGGAGGCCACAGGAGGCCCAGGAAGAAGCCCCAGGAGGTCCCCAGGAGACCACCCCCGGAGGCCCTAGGAGGCCCCCGCAACGGAGCTCTGAGACGCCGCGCTCGAGGTGGTCCGGCCCGTTTCGCCTGAGACTTCCTCGCAGCACGTTTCGCCCGAGACATCGTCGCAACTTTGGAGTCCGAGATGTCGCGCGCGAGGTGGTCCAGCCCGTTGCGCTGGCGACACCCTCGCAACTCTGGGCTCCGAGATACCGTTCGGGATGAAGAGGAGGTGGAGGAGGATGAGCTTGGGCGATCTTGGAGTCATGTTGAGGCGTCAGTAGCTCATCTGAAGCGGCAAGGCGAGGAAACAATTACAATCGGAACGTTCGTTTTTTTTTGGGGGGGGGGGAGGGCAGTTCGGCCTTCTGGGGGCATCTTTGAACGCTTTTGCCGCCATCTCGGGCCGTTTTGTTGCGGCCGTGGAGCCTCATGGAAACATGTTCGGGGCCACAATGCTTCTACTTGGACTATATTGTGCCATATTGGAAGTCACATGGCGTTACCTGGAGCATGCAGGATCAGCTTGCTTGGACGTTCTAGCTGGTCGTCCCCCAGGCCTCAGGATAAGGGTAGGGGGGGATCAATTCATCGCCGAAGGGGAAGAAGGGGGGGTGGAAAAACTGTCCTTAGAACACCTACACTCAAAGGGCTGGTATACTTGTCACTCATATGCCCCTGTGCTTGTTTCGTTTCCGCTCCTCCCCCTTGTCCACTTGCTGTACTCCTTGCCTCTTCAGCTGTTGCTGCCAGAGGACCACAACCGCGACGGCATGCTGGAGCGAGCACACGTAGCATACGCGGACCCCGAGGCGGCCAAGTACATCTGGGGCCTGGGCTACCACTGGCCCGCATCCTTCGTGTTTTGCTCTCTCATTCCTTTTCGTACCTTCTCCGTCTCCTCTTTCTCTGCCGCTTCCCGTCTGGTCCAGCCCTCGCCCTGCCCTACCCTGCCGTACCTTTCGCCGTACCGCTTTGCTCTGGCTTATGCATCTCGGGATGAGGAAAACGCATGAGGGAGGAGCAGGGAGGCAGGAGAGCAAGGCGGAGGAGGAGGAGGAGGAGGAGGAGGAGGAGGAGGAGGAGGAGGAGGAGGAGGAGGAGGAGGAGGAGGAGGAGGACGAGGGGAACGCACCGGGAGCCCACGAGTCTACATTCTACATTTGGATAACTCTGGAACGCGACGGGCCCTACGCTGCAGCTGCGGCAACGGGGGACTTTGAGTAGGGTGTCCGAACAACATTTTGCCTCTGCTGCTTACTGCCGTAAGCAGCACTGGCCAGGCTGCATGGTGGTGCGACAGGGGGGATGAGCTTACAAATGAGATGGAGGAGGAGGAGGAGGAGGAGCAGCAGTAGGAGTAGGAGTAGGAGCAGGAGTAGGAGTAGGAGTAGGAGTAGGAATAGGAGTAGGAGTAGGAGTAGAAGTAGTAGGAGGAGAAGGAGGAGAAGGAGGAGGAGGAGGAGGAGGAGGGTTGGAGACGTTTGAACGCCGAGGCCCTGAGGCGCCCTCAGTGCCCCCTAGTCAACCCAGCCGGCCTGTCCCGCCCAACCAGTCCGGCCGACCCGGTCAGCCCAGGAAGGCCAGCCAGCTAAGCCAACCTGGCCGCAGTCCAGGTTGCTCCGGAAGCCTTCCAGTCCGCCTCCACAGCCAGATCAACCAGCTTGGCTGGCCAAATCGACTCAGCCAGGTTTCTCACGTCATGATCCCAGCTGCTTGTCATCATTCTCCACATCGTTGTCGTAGTGGTCGTTGTCCTCCTCCACCTCCCTCCTCCCTCCTCCCTCCGTACCTCTCTGTATCTCTTCCATCCTCCCTCCCTCCCCCCCTCCCTCCCCCCACCCCCACTCCCTCTAATCACCCACATCCCCTCCATCCCCCTCCCTTCCTCATCCTGTCCTCATCCTCCTCCTCTACTCCCCTCCTCCCTCCCCACTCATCCTCCTACTCCTCCTCCTCCCTTCTCCTCACCCTCCTCCTCCTCCTTCCTCCTCCTCCCCTCCCTCCTCCTTTCTCCTCCCTCCTCCTTCCTCTCTCCTCCCCTCATCCTCCTCCTCCTCCTCCTCCTCCTCCTCTCCTCCTCCTCCTCCTCCTCCTCCTCCTCTCCCATCCTCCTCCTTCCTCCTCCTCCTCCTTTCCCTCCTCCTCCTCCTCCTCCTCCTCCTCCTCCTCCTCCTCCTCCCTCCTCCCGCTGTTTCCGCTGTTTGCCGCGCCATGAAGGTCTGTGCCTTGCAGCGCCACTCGGCGGCCGAAGCCGCCGCCAGAGGAGGGGGGAGGAAGGCCCGTCCCGCCCAGGCGCGCGGGGCGGCGGAGGAGCGGGGGCCAGGCCTAGCCGCGCGCGCGGCCGATCACGGGGCAGAGGATTATGTCCCTCGGGACCCCGACGACTCGGCCCCCTCACTGGGCCACGTCGGTGGTCGCTGGTTTTGTAGTAGAGCATGATTCTGTCGCCCTCGAGCTTGTGGTACTCGACTCAGTCATGCTGGTCGAAATTGTTGTTGACCCTGCTGTGCCCAACCCTGTGGCCCTCGTCCCAGTCACTAGTCATTCTGGTATGGCTTGACCCAGTAGCACTATCTGTTGTCCTCGACTCGGTAGTGCTGGTCCTCGCAATACGCTTTGTGACTGTGATGCCAAGCTTGTGGTGCTCGGGCCGTCGCTCTGATTGAAGCAGTAGCTGACTAGCTGGCCCCGACCCTGTGGTACTCGGCACCGTCGTGCTGGTCGAAGTGGCGGTACTTGTCTCGGTATGATGAACCTTCTCCATTTGCTCCATTCACTCCATTCAACTCGGCATCGCTGATCCAGTGGTCGTCTGTCTCGATGATGGTAGGCTCTTTGTACTTGGCTCGGTCGCCCTGGTCGAGTGGAACTGTTTGACTGTGTTGGGCTCAGGCTCCTGGTACTCGTCTCAGCCGATGAGGTAATTGTCGTGCTGGTTAGAGGTCGTTTGGGGCCGGCTTGTTGCTGGTAGGTGGAATAAATTGTGGGCGCACTCAGGCCTCCATGCACCGACTTCAAGTAAGGTTCCTGGCGGCCCTACCTCGTCCCGCTATGGCTAGGGGTCACAGTGCCCTTGGTGGGGGCGAACCCCAGGCCCAGTGATTCTTCTGCTGTCGATGAGGAAGGTCAACGCTGCCCTATGCTTCGCCCTTGGGCGCTCGGGAGCTCCGTCTCCGCCATGGGAATGGTGGGGGTGGCGAGCTAGGGCGGACCGCGGGGGCGCGGGCAGTACTCGTCCTGCCCCCCCCCCTGCCCCTCACCATCCCCCCTGGTAGGCGCGGGCAGTCCTCGTCCTGCCCCCCCGCCCTTCGAGCCCGTCTCGAAGTTTGATCCTTGCCTCACCAGGGCAGCGTTGACTCGTACTTGGTGCAGTTGGGGTAATCTGGCTGGTACCTCTGAGCCCTGGCTGAACGGCGGCCGTGTCCGTCACTGTGCAAAACGTGGCGACGTGTGCCTGGGGTGTTCCCTCGCATTCGGGGCTTCCCCAGGACTTGCGTCCTGACAACTTGTGCAAAACTTGGCGGCGTAGCCTGAGGTATTCCCACGCACTCGGGGCTTCCTCAGGACTTGCGTTCTGATCCTTTTGTACTTGTCGTCAGGGCACTTCGTCGCGATCCGCGTTGTCAGCCTGTGCCCGAACAGCTCCTGTCGAGGTGGTGGTCCTGCCGATTGCCTTGTCGGGTCGGTCCTGCAGGGCCCACTCCCTTGCCTCTTCCAACCAGGTCGGTGGGCCACCTCGCCTCGCTGGGCCACGATGGTAGTCCTGACCCATCTCCCTGGTCTTGTAGCGGTCGAGCGGCTGGAAGAAGTGGGCCACGTCGTCGTCGATGTGCCACCCCTGGACGTCGCTAGGCGACTCGCCAAAGCGCCACCGTATCTGCTTCGCCAGTGCGGTCGCGATGGCCTGGCACATCCTGTTCGGGTACTCCTTGGCCGCCGCGGTGCGCCACTGGCCGTCGTCGTTGATGCCTGCCAGCTCCGCGTGGTAGGAGGCCGTGTGAAAGCACCTCCCGCCTCCAGGCAGTCTACTGATTTCTGCTCGGAGGGTTGGTAGGGATACCGCCATCAGGCTTGTGGACTTCCTCGAACGCGCTCCACGGGTGCACTGGCCGAATGTGATCAGCTCGACTCCCTGCTGGTTCAGGAGGTGGCGCGTCTCGGGGAGCTTCCAGGAGCTGGCGAAGTGCTCCTCGGTGGGCTCGCACGGGTGCTCGAGCATGCCTGGGACTCCAAGGTTGAGGCACATGTACATGAGCTCCAGCTGTGTCCTGTATAGGCGATTGCCTATCGCTACTTGCTCCATCTCTGGACGGGAAAGGTAGCGAAGGCCCCACAAGCTGTTGCTGCTTCTTAGGGGTCTTGGTGGGCGACCCCTGCAGTCATTGGGGGGCAGGTGGCGCGCTCGGCTCCAGGTCTCGCACGGCGGTCCGCCGATGACTCCTGCAATCCTCCCTGCTTGTGCCATGCCTCGCCACTTGTTGGCTGCGACTTCTGATGTCAGGTCGCCGAAGGTCGGGTCGTTGGCGATGTCCAGGCTGAGCATGTGTATGTCGCATGCAGCCCGACTGCTGAGACGGTCGAACCAATCCTGAACATCTCCCTCTCGGCGACGGCCGCTGAACAGATGCAGCACGTATAGAGTCCGAGCTGGCCTGGGCCTGGGTGCAGCAGCTGGCGGCGGCGGTGGCTCCTCGATGAAGGGGAGCTCGAGGCTCTCGTAGTGGCCGCCGTTGCTGTCGTCGCTGTCCTCGTCCGTGTGTATTTCTGGAGGACGAGCAGGGACTGCAGGCTTCTCTGCCCAGTCGATGGGCCTGCCCGCCCTTCGGTTCGCCTGCTGCTGGTCGCGGACAATTTGCTGGTTGTGCTGCAGCTCGGCTCTACTTAGGATTGCTGGACGCGTCTTTCTCCAATGTCGAGCGCACCTGCGCACTCTCAGCAAGTGTTTGACCAGCCTGTTTGTAGTATGGTAATCCATGCCGCATCCGTAGCAGACCGAACCAGTTGCCCACGAGATAGGATGACCCGACGAGGTGTGGTCCTTGGTGATGTGTGCTCGTAGCACTGCTGCACTGGCTTCGGTACGTCCGCAGTGGTAGCATAGGTACTTGCGCTGATGCTCGAAGTGCTGGTCTGGGAAGGGCGAGATGGCTTCCGTGTTGGTCCACCGTTGGAGTCGTAGCCGCCATCGAGCTTGGTAGTCGTGATCGTACTGGCGAGCTTTGCCACGTTGGCAAGCTTTCTTTACTGCGCTGAGGTAGCTTTGGTAGTCGTTCCTGGCCCAGTCCTTCCAGTCCTCGAGCGTGCATGCTCCACCACGCTCGTCAGGTCCTGTGTGGTCGCGGACCCAGTCTAGGTCGCGGCGGAGCAGTGCCACCCAGCCGTAACTACCATCCCATGCTTGGCTAAGTAGTCGGCGGAGGTGCAGGGGTCCCCAGTTGAGGCATCTACCAAATAGTCATAGCCGCTCAAGTCGTAGGACTATCTCTGGGGGCAGCTTGTCGACCCCTTCGAGAATCTGGGTGTTCGTGACCTCCTTTTTCTGTCGTACTTTCCAAGTGATCCTTTGCGCGGCAGCGTAGTTGACGATATACTGGTTGTTGAAATTCCTGGCCTGGCCTGCTGTGAGTTCGGGCCAGGTAGACGCATTGTATAGTAGCTGGGATAGCACCACACTATCGGCTAAGTAGGCCTTGTCTTTGATGGCCAGCTCTGATCGCCGTCGGACTTCGCGATGGAGAGGCCTCGTGGATGTCGCTGCAGTGGCTACCTTCACTGCGACATCCACCCCAGGGGATGCATTGTCGGTCACGTAGGTCCCGAGGAGCTTGTGGTGACGAACAACCTCGACGTAACTCTCTGCGAGGGGGACCTCGATCCTCGGCACTCCATTGGAATAGAAACTGGCCCGAGCTTGCCGGCTCCCAGGCCCACTGAAGTCGATCATCACCTTGGTCTTGGTGAGCTGCAGCTGGAGGCCGAAGGTGCTGGCGGCGCAGTAGACTGCTTCGCAGAAACCCGTGGCCTCATGCTGAATGTGGTCGGGGCTGGTGAACACGTGCATGCCCGTTAGGTCGTCGACGAACGATAGGCCGTGAGGTTCATGCTCCTGGAGTGGCCCATCTGTGGGGTCGGTGTCGCATGCGAAGCTGCTGTCAAGAGGCTTGCCCTGGGGTCGTAGCCCTCGCTGCGCAAGGTAGCTGTCAATCATGCGGTGGACTCGCCCGAATAGCAGATTGAAGTCCGCGTCGGCCAGGGGCACGCCAGGCCTCGTGCCCTTGTGCGGCGCCATGAGGTTCTGGGAGAACCTGTGTGATGTCCACCCGTTGCGGTAACCTTCTGCAATGAGGGCAGCCAAGTGGGAGCCGTCCAACACTGTGTCGAGTATCCCTGGGTTGGCCATGAGGTGCTCCAGTTGCGGCTGGGCCCACAGGGGAACCTCGAGGTTCTCTAGCACCTCCTTGACTTCGTCCTCCTCGCCTGGGATGCCATGAACCAGCTGGACTACAACCGAGTAGAAGGCCTCCTTTAAGTCGTAGCAGCTTATCATGGAGCACTTCCCTTGGGCCTGACTTCTCTCTGTGAAGAGGCGCGCTGCTAGGACCGCCATGTCCGCCCCTCGCTTGGGCCGGCCGCCAACCTGGATGCCCTCCAGCGCTATGGCGAGGGTAGTGTTGAGCATGGTCCGTAGGTATTTGTGGTGGTGCTTGCCCAGGACGTTGTTTAAGAGGATCTCGCGGTAGGCTTGGAGGTACCTTGGGTCGCCTTTTCCTTTGGGAATTGCGACCAGGTCTCCACCCTTGAAGCTCAGCGGCTCCCGTACGGTGGTCGCCACCTTGGTGAAGAGGGGGTGCAGTAGCCTCGCTGCCTCTGTGGGGGCCGCCCTGGGGACAGCGTTTGTGAGCCCGTCGGGGCCCCCTTGCGTCCCAGCCTTGGCCGCGGCGAACTGGGCCTGGCAGACGGCCAGGGGCGTTCACCCATTTTGGGGGGGGGGGGAAAAAGAGATCCAGCATGCCGTCGAAGGGCCTGGTTCTGCTGTCGTGATTTGTACTTGTTGGCAAGATCATCCGCTGTCACGATCTTGCCCCCCCCCCCCACACCCCAATCGCCTCGCCTGATATCTTCGCGAATGGTTAAGCTCCTGGTCCGCCATGTCTGGGAGTTTGGATCACCTCTTCCATCCTTGTCGAGCCGCAATAGGTTTCCTGCCTCCTACTTCGGCCTTCCTCCCGCCATACTTAGTAGGTCGCGTAAGTTCCACTGGGACGCAGCGTCGTTCGCAGCGGCGGCGGAGGACCGCAGTTGAGGCAAGCCGACTGAGGAATGCGCTACGTGTCCTTCTCGACGGCCGAGCAACGAGGGGCCCCAGACCTGGTGAGAAGGAAAGGATGGCCATGGCGTAGACCATGGGCGAGATTGTCCAGTTCAGGAGGAGGTGCGCGTAGTGGTGGATGTCGTGGATGGTGCCATCGTCATCACCCCGCTCTCTGCTCCAAAGGGAGAGTGAGTCCCCTACTTCGCCTGCACGAAGAGAATGGGCGTGGGCTACTAGTCGTCCAGGTCGGTCGTCGTGGGTTTCTCCTCTGAGCACTGCACGGTGGACTCGGAGTGTGAGGCGCCTGGCTCGGATCAGGCCCATGGTAGTCTTGGTGACGTAGGGCTTCCTCGTTGCCTTGGAGGCCTTGCCGAAGGCCTGGATGGCCGCGTCGTTGACGACCCTGATGACCTCCTCGCAGTGGGTGTTGACGTCCACCTCCCAGGGGATGATCGGGGCCTGCTTGAGAATCTCCTTGAAGCTGGCCTTGGCGACGTCATTGTTCAAGTTGGTCAGGTCGGGCCTCGGTCCTGAGACCTTGGTGGTCTTGCAGACGGCCCACTTGAGGGTGGCTAGTACTGGTATGTGGTCTTGTGCAGCTGTGCCTCGGTCCAGACCTGGCTCCGTGCTGCAGCTCGCAACGTACGGGGCGATCGAGGAGCTCAGCAGGATGTAGTCTATCCTGTGATGCTGCCCCTTCGATCCGACATGCGTATATGAGTTGTTGCCTGGATCCCTCGTGGTGTTGATGACCTCCATGTTGGTGTCGGCAGCGAAGCTGATGATGTGCTTGCCATTGCCGTTGGTCGCTTCTGGGTACCCACTGGTGCCAACTCCTGGGGACTCGTAGTCGCCAAGACGCCCGTTCAGGTCCCCCATGAAGATGTCCACTCGGTACTTGGCAGACAATCGCTGAGCAGACTCCCAGAATTCTCTCTTCTCCGCCGCGTGGGAGTCTTCGTGGGGTGCATATGCTGATGCGATGACCATGTCTGTGCCTGCAACGCGGGTCTTGATGATCAAGAGCCTGTCGTGCTGGTGGAGGACGAGGGTGTCTTTGGCACTTAGGTACTTCGCTGCCCCACTCGCGCTGATTGGTTGGGAGACGTTGAGCCAGATGTCGCATCCTCTGTTCTGCTGCGTGTGGCCTGAGGAGTAGCAGACATATTCTCCTACGTTGCGGGCGTCTCCTTCGCTCTGCGTCTCCTGTAGGGCCACGACGTGCAGGCCCATGTCAGCAAACTGTGCTGCTAGGTGCGTGACCTTGGAGAGGCTCTGCTTGCTTTTGCCGGCCGCCTTGCCTTTGCCCGACTTGAAGCTGACGGCGGCCTTGAGTGATTTGCAGTTGTAGGTGCACAAATTCACGTTGAGGTCGGCCTTGATGGTGGTGGTGCTGATGGGCCTCTGGATCGCTCCTGGGGCTGCCTGCGGCTGGGTGGCCTCGATGATGAAGTCTTTGTTCCGCAAGGGCGGGTATGCGGCCTTGACCGCATCTGGCTCTGAGCGTAACCATTCCCAGGAAAGGAACTTGTTGTGAGCGATCGCCTGCACTGCTGTAATGTTCGGGTCCATCAGGTCGCTGGCCGAAGCTTGATCTGCTATCCCATCTGCGAGCTCGTTCCAAGGGTGCCCAATGTGCGAGTTAATGTGGTGCCACTGGGTAGGTCGGGCTTGTTGGAGGAGGCCAGCAAGCGTGCGAATGGCGGCCCCCAACCTCGGATGTACGTGGCATTGGGCTTCGCCTTTGGCCAGGTTGATAACGTTGAGGGCATCGGGCGTGATCTCGATGGGCGCGTCGGTGTCTTGATGGTCAAGACACCGCCGCGCCCATCGAGATCACGCCCGATGCCCTCAACGTTATCAACCTGGCCAAAGGCGAAGCCCAATGCCACGTACATCCGAGGTTGGGGGCCGCCCCCCCCCCCCCCTCCCCCCCCCCCCCCCCATTCGCACGACTTGCTGGCCTCCTCCAACAAGCGCCGACCTACCCAGTGGCACCACATTAACACTCGCACATTGGGCACCCTTGGAAATCGAGCTCGCAGAGGGATAGCAAGATTCAAGCTTCGGCCAGCGACCTGATGGACCCGAACATTACAGCAGTGCAGGCGATCGCTCACAACAAGTTCCTTTCCTGGGAATGGCTGCGATCAGAGCCAGATGCGGTCAAGGCCGCATACCCGCCCTTGCGGAACAAAGACTTCATCATCGAGGCCACCCAGACGCAGCAGCCCCAGGAGCGATCAGAGGACCATCAGCACCACCACCATTCAAGGCCGACCGACCTCAGCCTGAATTGTGCACCTACAACTGCAAATCAATCAAGGCCGGACGTTCAGCTTCAAGTTCGGGCAAAGGCAAAGGCGGCCGGCAAAGGCAAGCGAGCTCTCCAAGGTTCAGCCACTAGCAGCACAGTTTGCTGACATGGGCCTGCACGTCGTGGCCCTCCAGGAGACGCAGAGCGAAGGAGACGTCCGCAACGTAGGAGAATATGTTTGCTACTCCTCAGGCCACACGCAGCAGAACAGAGGATGCGACATCTGGCTCAACGTCTCCCAGCCAATCAGCGCGAGTGGGGCAGCGAAGTACCTAAGTGCCAAAGACACCCTCGTCCTCCACCAGCACGACAGGCTCTTGATCATCAAGGCCCGCGTTGCAGGCACAGACATGGTCATCGCATCAGCATATGCACCCCACGAAGACTCCCACGCGGCGGAGAAGAGAGAATTCTGGGAGTCTGCTCAGCGATTGTCTGCCAAGTACCGAGTGGACATCTTCATGGGGGACCTGAACGGGCGTCTTGGCGACTACGAGTCCCCAGGAGTTGGCACCAGTGGGTACCCAGAAGCGACCAACGGCAATGGCAAGCACATCATCAGCTTCGCTGCCGACACCAACATGGAGGTCATCAACACCACGAGGGATCCAGGCAACAACTCATATACGCATGTCGGATCGAAGGGGCAGCATCACAGGATAGACTACATCCTGCTGAGCTCCTCGATCGCCCCGTACGTTGCGAGCTGCAGCACGGAGCCAGGTCTGGACCGAGGCACAGCTGCACAAGACCACATACCAGTACTAGCCACCCTCAAGTGGGCCGTCTGCAAGACCACCAAGGCCTCAGGACCGAGGCCCGACCTGACCAACTTGAACAACGGCGTCGCCAAGGCCAGCTTCAAGGAGATTCTCAAGCAGGCCCCGATCATCCCCTGGGAGGTGGACGTCAACACCCACTGCGAGGAGGTCATCAGGGTCGTCAACGACGCGGCCATCCAGGCCTTCGGCAAGGCCTCCAAGGCAACGAGGAAGCCCTACGTCACCAAGACTACCATGGGCCTGATCCGAGCCAGGCGCCTCACACTCCGAGTCCACCGTGCAGTGCTCAGAGGAGAAGCCCACGACGACCGACCTGGACGACTAGTAGCCCACGCCCATTCTCTACGTGCAGGCGAAGTAGGGGACTCACTCTCCCTTTGGAGCAGAGAGCGTGGCGATGACGATGGCACCATCCACGACATCCACCACTACGCGCACCTCCTCCTGAACTGGACAATCTCGCCCATGGTCTACGCCATGGCCATCCTTTCCTTCCTCGCCAGGTCTGGGCCCATAGTTGCCGCGGCCGTCGAGAAGGACCGCAGCGCATTCCTCAGTCGGCTTGCCTCGACAGCGTCCTCCGCCTCCGCTGCGAACGACGCTGCGGTCCAGTGGAAGGCTTACCGCGACCTACTAAGGTATGGCGGGAGGAAGGCGAAGTTCCCAGCAGGAAAGCCTATGCGGCTCGACAAGGATGGAGAGGTGATCCACAACTCCCAGGAAATGGCGGACCAGGAGCTTAACCATTTCGCAAAGATACAGGCGGGCAAGATCGTGACAGCGGATGATCTTGCTAACAAGTACAATCACGACAGCAAGATCAGGCCCTTCGACGGCATGCTGGATCTCTCCATGGTGATGCCCCTGGCCGTCTGCCAGGCCCAGTTCGCCGCGGCCAAGGCTGGGACGCAAGGAGGCCCCGACGGGCTCACGAACGCTGTCCTCAGGGCGGCCCCCACAGAGGCAGCGAGGCTACTGCACCCCCTCTTCACCAAGGTGGCGACCACCGTGAGAGAGCCGCTGAGCTTCAAGGGTGGAGACCTGGTCGCAATTCCCAAAGGAAAAGGCGACCCAAGGTACCTCCAAGCCTACCGCGAGATCCTCTTAAACAACGTCCTGGGCAAGCACCACCACAAATACCTAAGGGCCATGCTCAACACTACCCTCGCCATAGCGCTGGAGGACATCCAGGTTGGCGGCCGGCCCAAGCGAGGGGCGGACATGGCGGTCCTAGCAGCGCGCCTCTTCACAGAGAGAAGTCAGGCCCAAGGGAAGTGCTCCATGATAAGCTGCTACGACTTAAAGGAGGCCTTCTACTCGGTTGTAGTCCACCTGGTACATGGTATCCCAGGTGAAGAGGACGAAGTCCAGGAGGTGCTAGAGAACCTCGAGGTTCCCCTGTGGGCCCAGCCGCAGCTGGAGCACCTCATGGCCAACCCAGGGATACTCGACACAGTGTTGGACGGCTCCCACTTGGCTGCCCTCATTGCAGAAGGATACCGCAACAGGTGGACATCACGCAGGTTCTCCCAGAACCTTATGGCGCCGCACAAGGGCACGAGGCCTGGCGTGCCCCTGGCCGACGCGGACTTCAATCTGCTATTCGGCCGAGTCCACCGCATGATTGACAGCTACCTTGCGCAGCGAGGGCTACGACCTCAGGGCAAGCCTCTTGACAGCAGCTTCGCATGCGACACCGACCCCACAGATGGGCCACTCCAGGAGCATGAACCACATGGCCTATCGTTCGTCGACGACCTAACGGGCATGCACGTGTTCACCAGCCCCGACCACATTCAGCATGAGGCCACCGGGTTCTGCGAAGCCGTCTACTGCGCCGCCAGCACCTTCGGCCTCCAGCTGCAACTCACCAAGACCACGGTGATGATCGACTTCAGTGGGCCTGGGAGCCGGCAAGCGCGGGCCAGTTTCTACTCCGAGGGAGTGCCGAGGATCGAGGTCCCCCTTGCAGAGAGTTACGTCGAGGTGGTTCGTCACCACAAGCTCCTCGGGACCTACGTGACCGACAACGCATCCCCTGGGGTGGATGTGGCAGTGAAGGTAGCCACTGCAGCGACATCCACGAGGCCTCTCCATCGCGAAGTCCACCGGCGATCAGAGCTGGCCATCAAAGACAAGGCCTACTTAGCCGACAGTGTGGTGCTATCCCAGCTACTATACAATGCGTCTACCTGGCCCGAACTCACCGCAGGCCAGGCCAGGAATTTCAACAACCAGTATATCGTCAACTACGCTGCCGCGCAAAGGATCACTTGGAAAGTACGACAGGAAAAGGAGGTAACGAACACCCAGATTCTCGAAGGGGTCGACAAGCTGCCCCCAGAGATAGTCCTGCGACTTGAGAGGCTACGACTATTTGGCAGATGCCTCAACTGGGGACCCCTGCACCTCCGCCGGCTACTTAGCCAAGCATGGGATGGTAGTTACGGCTGGGTGGCACTGCTCCGCCGAGACCTAGACTGGGTCCGCGACCACACAGGACCTGACGAGCGTGGTGGAGCATACACGCTCGAGGACTGGAAGGACTGGGCCAGGAACGACTACCAAAGCTACCTCAGCGCAGTAAAGAAAGCTTGCCAACGGGGCAAAGCTCGCCAGTACGATCACGACTACCAAGCTCGATGGCGGCTTCGACTCCAACGGTGGACCAACACGGAAGCCATCTCGCCCTTCCCAGACCAGCACTTCGAGCATCAGCGCAAGTACCTATGCTACCACTGCGGACGTACCGAAGCCAGTGCAGCAGTGCTACGAGCACACATCACCAAGGACCACACCTCGTCGGGTCATCCTATCTCGTGGGCAACTGGTTCGGTCTGCTACGGATGCGGCATGGATTACCATACTACAAACAGGCTGGTCAAACACTTGCTGAGAGTGCGCAGGTGCGCTCGACATTGGAGAAAGACGCGTCCAGCAATCCTAAGTAGAGCCGAGCTGCAGCACAACCAGCAAATTGTCCGCGACCAGCAGCAGGCGAACCGAAGGGCGGGCAGGCCCATCGACTGGGCAGAGAAGCCTGCAGTCCCTGCTCGTCCTCCAGAAATACATACGGACGAGGACAGCGACGACAGCAACGGCGGCCACTACAAGAGCCTAGAGCTCCCCTTCATCGAGGAGCCGCCACCGCCGCCAGCTGCTGTACCGAGGCCCAGACCAGCTCGGACGCCATACGTGCTGCATCTATTCAGCGGCCGTCGCCGAGAGGGAGATGTTCAGGACTGGTTTGACCGCCTCAGCAGTCGGGCTGCTTGCGACATACACATGCTCAGCCTGGACATCGCCAACGACCCGACCTTCGGCGACCTGACATCAGAAGTCGCAGTCAGCAAGTGGCGAGACATGGCACAAGCAGGGAGAATTGCAGGAGTCATCGGCGGACCGCCGTGCGAGACCTGGAGCCGGGCGCGCCACTTGCCCCCCAATGACTGCAGGGGTCGCCCACCAAGACC